CTGCAGAGCAGGGCTGTGCCAGACTGGCAAGGACCGTGGACACCATGCAACCTCCAGCCTCCTCTACACTGAGCACAGCCCCATCCTTGCCCCGGGCACTGACACCCCCCACCCCATCCCCAGCACCCATGCGCTGATGGTGATGCCCCACCTGTACCCCGTGCATTGAGGCCATCCACCGTGCACCCACAAACTGCCCCCCCTGCACCCATGCACTGCCCCTGAGTCGCCCATCTGCACCCTATTCACACATCCCCACTCACCCCATCCCTACTGTGCAGGTTGCAGCCACCCTCAGGGCACAGCCAGGGGAGGGTGGTCATCCCAGAGGATTTGCACCCCAAGGGCACGCCAGAGTAGGTGGGAGCAGGCAGGGGCTTTGAGGTGCAGGACGGATTGGATTGCATGGCCAGGTTAGGGCGCAAGGAGAGTTTGGGGCACAGGACAGGGTGGGGTGCAGGATCAATTTGGGCTTTGGGCACAGCTGGAGTGCAGGGCCAGATTGGGGTGCAGGGCAGAGTGCTGGCTGGGTGAGGCCAGGCTGTGTGTTGCACCCCGTGCCCTCTGGGTGCACAGGGCCCGGCTGCGGGGATCACAGGCAGCTGGGGAAATCTGGGGAGTCACCCCTGGGGACCCACATGCACAGTGGTACCACATCCCTCCCACCCTGCAGCCACCTTTGGGTGTTGCTGGGCATCAGAGGGCTCCCCAGGACCAGCTGGAGGGGACAGCCACAACCTGGAGCTGCAGTCCAGCCCAAGCACGTCACTCCCGTGGACTGGCTCCATCGTCCTCACAGCCCAAGTCCATCCTTCCTTCAAGCTTGCACCCAGGGCCAGCTTGTATCACCCAGGGGCTGCAAAGCCGCAGCCTTTCCTAGCCCAGGGCTGGGCTTTCACAGGCCAGTTCAGACTGGTGGAGGCACCATTAGGAGCACAGTGAGCCTGTGGACTCTGATCTGCTGTAAACACTGGAGCAGCGAGCAGTGCTGGTGCAGACTCTGCTGCAGTCAGCATAACCAGCCAGCAGTGGGAAACCAACCCAGGCACTGAGCTTAATCACAGGGGTCAAAGGCGGTGTTTTCTTCCCCAGAGAACCGCTGCTGGCTGGGTTAGCAGCAGGAGCAATACGGGGCGGGGAGGGGGGGCAGTTAAGTGGTGAGCACCTCTGGGACCAACCCACTGCAGGTGAAAGGGAATTCATGCTTTTTTGGAACTGAGCTGAGCTGCACCCCAGCCTGGGGCATCCTGGTGTGCCAGAGTCAGGGCATTAGTATACACCTGGTGCCATGGGCATCAAGGACCATGGGCACAGCTTGGACATGCAGTGAAGCATGGGAGAACCAGCCCTGCCCAAGCAAGGTGCCAGCAGGTGAGCAGAGCCCAGGGCGACAGCCCTTTGGGGCTGGACAAAGCACTGAGCCCTTCCCCAGCCGCTTCCACGGGGTGATGGTGGGCTTTAGGGGTATCCACAGCCCCAGCTACAGTGGCACCAGGGGAGGGTAGGCTGGCATCTCCCAGGCAAATCCTGGCTGGAAAGGAAACCCCTGGAAAGGACAAAGGTGGTTGAAGGTTTTTATAGCTTTCTCCCAAGCAGGGAAATGAGGTTCATGCTGGGAGTGTGGAAGCGCAAGTCCCTCCAGTCCACATGGGCTTCAGAAACGAGGACCAAAGTGGCCTGCAAGCTGCCTTGGGGGCACAGCCCCAGTCACCATGAGGTGTCCCTGCTCTGCAGGTCAGGCCACAGTGTGCCATGTGGGCATCTCTGTCTCACTTGGCCTCCTGGCTGGCTGCAGCTCCCCTGAGCCGGGTTTGGGGAGCAGGTGTGTCCCTTCTCCTGGTGCAGCAGTCCCCTCCTCGGCAGCATGGCTGCCCTCCTCCTCCTCTTCCTTCTCCTCCTTGCTCCCTGGACAGAGGAAGCAGCAGGGGAAGGCTTTGCAGGAGGATGGCAGCAGCCTCCTCAGCCTGGCAGGGAGCCCATAGGCCTGGCCAGCTTCATCCCTCTCTCCATGGGGACGGCGATCGCCTGCCCTGGCTTTCTGCGGCGCCAACTCAGAGAGCAGCCCTCGCTCCTCCTGGGTTCCTGCAACCAGGGTGGTGGGCAGTGAGATGGGAGCCCCTTTCTCTGGCTGCACCCTCCCAGCCCACACCAGCCTCGGGACCCCCAGCTGCCTGGAGGCAGAGCCAGTGGTTCAGGGACAGTCCCATGGCCAGATCCAGCCCTCGGAGCAGGGATTCATGCAGACATGCTGTAGCATCCCCTCACCTGAGACCGTGTTCTCCAGGAAAAATGACAAGAAGCCAGTTAAGAAGATGGGCACCATGAGCAGGGAGAGGAAGAGGAGGTCCAGGGGCACCCAGCCTGCAGAGACAGCACCAGAATCACCTGGAACATCCCAGCTCAGCAGCAAGGAAGGGGCAGGAGCTGCTGCAGCAGATCCAGGGGTTGGAGAGAGCTGTCTGCTGCTGTCCTGGGAGGCTGGGGCAGCTCACATCAGAGATGTGTGGCCACCATGCCACAGGACCCGAGGCTTTGCCTTGCCCAAGGAATATCCCTGCTACCTGTGGCCAGGTGAGCTGGAGCAGCGCTGAGCCACCGTGGCACCAGTAGTGCCATGAACATGGCAAAGCCAACGATGAAGATGTTCCTCCCCGAGTCAATATCTGCATACTGGAAGTAGGAGATCCCCGTGCCCACAGCCACGGCGTAGGTGACGCAGAGCACCCCCCCTGCAAGGGCCAGAAGTCAGGCAGTGCCAGGCACGCTGCAGGCACCCCGGTGCAGGGGAGGGGAAGGG